TAAGGGAGCCCCCCGGCGGTTGGGGGGGGGGGGGCTCCCTCCGGCAGCGGGGCCGAGCCGAGGGGCCGCTCCTGTGCAAGAGCCGGCACGCCCGAGCGCCGAGGAGGGCTCCTCGCTGCCGCGCGGGGGCCATCTTACCCGTGAAGTATTTCTAAAGTGACCCTCCATCTGTGCAGGCTGGTCCTGAGGGAATTAACTCTCCTGGCCGTTCCTGGCTGCCGCGGGCTGGCCTTGTTGAAGGAAGGAGTGCCGCTGGGACCGCAGAAACACCTGCAGCACCCTCGCGAGCAGAAAATATTGTGGTTGGATTCGTTCTACGTATCTTCCAGTGCAACACTCGGGCGTTCCCAGCCTGATCGAGGGTTTCCTCACCAGGGTGGGTTATCAGACAAGCGTGGCCAGGACGCGATGGGGTCTCGGAGATGCCACGCTCTCTTCATCCGGCGTCTTGGTCAGGAAACTTTGTCAGTGAAGTGAAGAGCTCCTCGGGAATCCCGCCTGGCTCGCCAGCTCGATCCCCTTCTCTCTGTCCTCTTCGCTGCGTAATTGTATTTCCAAACGCGAGGGATCAGCTCCAGCGTCAGGCACTGGGTGACCCCCGCTGCTGTTCGCAATTCCTCCCGCTGGGCCGTGGACATGCCCGGTCATCTCCCGGGAAGGTCAGCCTGGGGAATTTCTGTGCATCAGCCAGCAGACACAAGAGTCAGGAATGGTAAAGCATTTTGGCTCACCGGAGGCTTCTGTAATTTGCTCTCTGTGGTGGTATCCAAGCTTTTGATTCCTTCTACAATTCAGGGAAGCTCCTAAAATCCAGCGGACAGACGATTCACAACCCCAGTGCCCCACCATGTGCAAAATCAATGCTCACACGTTTTTCTCTCCAGGGACACCAGCAGCTCGGATCCCTCCTGGTGTCATTTCTCCATCAGCCCCGAAACCACTGCCCTGTTTCCCAGCCTGACCACAGGCTGGACGGCTCTGCCGCCCCAGCCGTGGACGTGGCAGTTCTCGTCTGGCGATCTGAGTTCCGCAGGAGCGACCGGGAACTCGTTCGCTGGAACCGCTTTGGCTGCGGCGGCCGCGTGGCTAACGTTTGTCCCGCATGCCTGGGCTGGTGAGCGAGGAACTCCGCGGGCTGGCGGAGCGCAGCCAGGCGTTTCTGGCGGGCGTGTATTTTCTCGTGGCGCAAGAGGTGAGTTTTGCGGGTGAAGCATTTCTGGCAGGCGGTGCAGCAATATGGCCTGTCCCCCGAGTGGGTCCGCAGGTGCCGCTGAAGGGAAGAGGAGCAAGAGAAAATCTTTTTGCACAGATTGCACTGCGGCACAGGCTTCCTACGAGCCTTGGGATCCTGCTGTCGGGAGAAACACGCGCTGGACAGTCTCGCCCTCTCCGCCTCCTCCTTGGCCTGGCCCAGCCAGGGCCCCCCAGCGTACGTCCTGCTGCCCAGGCTGTGGGCGCCTTCGCAGAAAACCTCACAGAACTTCCTCCTCGGCCGGATCCTCAGCTCCGGGTGGACGTTCCCCCAGACCTTGGCCCCAAAGGCCCTGTCTTTGATGTGGATGCTCTGGTGAAGGTCCAGGCGGCTTTTGTCGGTGAAGCTGATCTCGCACATCGTGCATTCGTAGGGCCCCTCTTTGGCGTGGCTCCGCTGGTGGATGATGAGGTTGATTTTCAGACGGAAGCGCTTCCCGCACTCGGTGCAGGGGTGCGACCACTCCCGCACGTAGCCGCGCCGGCAGTTGCCCATCAGCAGCCTGCTGTTCGTGCACCTGCTCGGCTTCTTCTTGCTCTTGGCCTTGGCCTGCTCGCTTTTGGGGCACTTCTGGATCTCTGAGCCGGGGGAGGGTGCAGAAACCTCTTGCGGTGCCTCGGGTTCCTCTTCCTTCACCTTGACCTTGTCAGGAGGAGGAGCCCCTTCACACGCCGTTTCATTTCCCAGTAAGACGCCTTCCTCTGAAATGGAACAACAGCGGCATTGGTCATTCACGCTCCCAGGACAAACCCAGCTTGTGGTTAAGTCCCGAAGCACCGGGCAGGCTTTTAGCAGTAAAGGAGCTACCAACAAATCTGCGAGCGCAGCCTGGAGAGGCGCGGGTGCCACCACAGCGTCCTGCCCGCACGCCCTGAGCAGCCAGCGCGGTTTCGGGGGGGGCAGATCTCCTTTGCTCCCAGGAAGAACCAGGCTGCCGTTTGCTGCGGGGCCACCAGGGCCGGTGGCACAAAGGGATCCACCTCTAAAACCCCGACACCAACTACGGCCACGAGATGCAGCAGGGAAAAAAGGTCCTGAAGAGCCTGCAGTGCTTCAGCACTTCAGCTCGGGAGTGCCGGCAAATGCCAAACGCCGGCAAACCGGCTCCCGTGAGGGCTGTGGTGAACTCTCCACACCCCCGCGGCAGCCTAGGCCATTCAGCCGGTGTAAGCCGTGGCCAGAACCCGTGCGGTTTAACTCTGCACACCAGTGCCAGAAACAGAGTCCCTGGAAGAGGAAAGCGCTCTGTGTGTTAGCTTGGCAAAGCTTCAGGGCTGGGACGGAGGGTGTTCGCAGACGGCCACCCCCCTTCCCACACCCCCTGCGCCCTCCGCTTCTGGCACGGGGAAGAGGGCCGGGTGACGGGAAGCGTTAGGCCACCTGAGCTCAAGGCCAGCTCCACCGAAACGCGGCAGAGCTGGAGGAGGGAAGCGTGCTGCTGCTTGCTGCTCGCCCCGATTTCTGATCGAAGGAACCCCAACTGGACTGCTGTTCTTTCCGCAGAGGGGACAGGGCTGAAACACCCGATACCAGCCCCCTCCCGTGCTCGGTGATAAAAAAGAGGTCTGAAACTTTCTTCTCCCTCCCCATTTCGAGCACGTTGGCGAGCTGGGAGCTGCTTTCTGCCTGCAGGGCCCCATGTCTCCCCTGCAGGGGGTTACTCACCAGTGCTGGACTCAGCCCGCTCCTCTCCCATCTCTGTCTCAGGCTGATCCTTCCTGCGCAGCGCCTCTTTTCGCGCGCTCAGGGACGTGACGTTCATCACCAGGATGGGGAGCTCTGTTTACAGAGAAGAGCAATTTTAAACACGTGTGGAGAGCTCACATCTTCCTGCTTCGGCATGATGCTAACAGAGACGTGTTGGCAGCGTGCAGAAGAGCCAGAGAAAGCTGTGGCTCAAGAAGCCATGACACGTTGCACCAGGGCAGGGTTAGGTTGGATATTAGGAGCAATCCCTTCCCCGAAAGGGCTGTCGGTGCCTGGCCCAGGCTGCCCTGGGCAGGGGCTGAGTCCCCACCCCTGGAGGGATTGAAAAGCCGGGGAGATGTGGTGCTTGGGGACATGGTTTAGCAGTGGCCTTGGCAGCGCTGGGTTACGGTTGGACTTGAGGATCTTAAAGCTCTTTTCCAACCTAAATGATTCTGTGATTCTACGGAAAGCATGTGAGGTGTTAGAAGGAACTGGAGTGAAGCCACACACAAGGACCAAAAGCAGAGGGAGGGCTGGGAGCAAAACCACCAAGGTGCCGCACGCTGTCACCTCTGCAGAGCAACCTCATCCCTCCCGAACCCAGCCACCAACTCCACAGGTGGTATTCCCACATCACCTCGTGTTCAGGCCCTCGAACCCCTCCCGTTTTCCCTGGCAGCACCTTGACAATGCGCCCCAGGGCTTCTGCTTTTCCCTGGCGATGCTTCTCTTAAGCAGGGTGACCTGCCAGGCCCTCTCCCACGGACACTGCTGGGACACCCGAGAGAGCTGGGACAGGAATGGCCTGGAGAAGCAAGTCCTCCTGGCACCCGCGGAACCTACCTGTGTCAGCTTCCACGGGGACCTTATCTTCTCCCAAAGCCTCTTCCTTCTGGTCCATCTCTTCTGGTATCTGCAGGGACTCCGGACTGTCTGGGACACCTGTCTGCAGGGACTCGGGACCGTCTCCGCTCTGTGTCTGCGGGGACTCCGGACCGCCTCGGACGCCTGTTTGTGGGGGCTCCTCACCTGCTCTGGCAGCTGCCTGCGGGGGCTCCTGACCGTCTTTGGCACAGAGCTCCTCATCCTTCTCGATCCGAGACAGGACGTCAGGCTTGGAGATAGCATAGTCTGCTCGCGGGGCAGAGGACAGCCGGTTTTGTTAGGGACTGGCTACACGTTTAGTCTGTCGAACTCTCAAAGTGACCCTTCTCTCCCTAGCCCCGGAGCGAGCCGGCAGTACAGACAGACACAAATACGTGATCCGTGCTCTAATGAGAAAGCTGGTGCTGCTTGCTCAGGAATCCACCCGTGAGCACAGCTGTAGCTCAAGTACAGAGAGAATCTAAGTAACAGAACATAAACTAAAATCGCAAAGGAGAGGGAGAGCCTCCGTCTACACAACATCTTTTTCCTTGCTTTCCGGGATCACTCGATAAACCAACCCCCAGACAGACATTTGGGGCTCGTTTCGTTTCTGGGTTAACGCTCCCCGAAGGACAGAGCCTGCCCTGCCCTCTGCCCCCTGACCTCTCCCGGGGCTTCCCTAACCCCCGGCCCCTCAGTTCTGCGGGACAGAGCTCCCGACCACAGCTCTGCCCGCGTGTTTCTTCTTCCCTTGGCTCCGTCAGGGTCTGCCTGTCCTTTCCAGCACCTCCTGCCTTTCTTGCCCAGCCCTCACACTCTTAACAATCGATTTTTCCGGCTCTCCCATGCCGTGCCCCAAGGCAATCCTGACGGCTGCTCCAGCCTCCTCCACCCACTGCAGGCTCCCAGGTTCCTCACTTCCCACCACGCCTCCTCTCTCACCAAGGCAAGCAGGAGCGTCTTTGGAAGCCCTACGGCTCATGCATGCAGTCAGGTGAAGAAGGATTGCCGAATTGCACAGAAACAGGACTGGAAGGGATCACAAGAGGTCTGTCCCACCGCTTCAGACTCCAGCCCAGCCCCTCCTGCCAGGCTTTGTCTGGCTTTCTCCACGGGATCCATCTGACCAAGCATAAACATTCCTCTTGGAAGACAGACTCAAGGTACGCTGTGGAGGTTTAGTCAAGAGAGTCAACAGACCCTCAGCGCAGTTCCTTTCTAACAAGAACGCGGCTGGGAGATCTCCTGACAAAGCTGAGACAGGCACGGCCACCTCCTCCCAGCACTGCCCCCCCTTACCTGTGTCAGCTTCCATGGGGACTTCGTCTTCTCCCAGCGCCTCTTCCCTCTGGTCCAGCTCCTCCGCTGGCGGCGGGGGCTCCTCACCTGCTCCGGCTCCTGCCCGCGGGGGCTCCCGACCGTCTTTGGCGCAGAGCTCCTCATCCCTCTCGATCCAGGAGAGGACGTCAGGCTTGGAGACGGCATAGTCTGCTCGCGGGGCAGAGGAGCGGAGGACAGCCGGTTTTGTTAGGGACTGGCTACAGCTTCATTCTGTCGAACTCTCAAACGTTTCAAAGCAACCCTTCTCTCCCTGACCCCGGAGCGAGCCGGCAGTGCAGACAGACACAAATACGTGATCCGTGCTCTAACCGGAAAGGCGGTGCTGCTGTCTCAGGAATCCGCCCGTGAGCACAGCTGTAGCTCAAGTACAGAGAGAATCTAAGTAACAGAATACGAACTAAAATCGCAAAGGGGAAGGAAAGGCTTTGTCTTTAACATTTTCCTCCCACTTCAACTTTAGCAGTGACTTGAAGAGCAACTCCTCTGAGCTATCGTTCTGGGGTAGGGGCAGAAAACTTCCCGCTCTGTAGTCAGAGGGACCCCGAGAGGAACAGCCTTGTTCTGTTTCTACAAAATACCACTGAGAAAAGCGAAGCCGCAGCTTCAGGAGCTGCACAGACCAGCGCGTTACTCGTCACGCTCGAGAAATGGCTTTTGGTGGGGAGCATCTTACAGCCTAAATCAGGCAAGAACGTCTTGGGCGCCCTTAGAAAGGCCGAGCAGGGTTCGGTCAGTTCTTTACCGAGGTACACGGAAATGTCCCCATCGCTTTCCTAAATAGCGCTAAATAGACAGAAAACAAGAACTCGTTCAAGATGCAGCTATCAAACCTCAGCCAGGTAATTCCTGGACTGCGCTGGAAGATGAGGATGGTTCCCTGACCCTGGAACCCGCTTACACAGTCATTAGGAACGGCATCTCACGGGGGTACCTTTTATAACGGATTTCGTTTGTGTTACTACTGCTGCTATTATTTTCTACAGATCTCTCTCACATCGTTTATCGTTTTCCAAGCGGGAAGGAGGGAAAACGTGTGGGCCTGACTGCCCAGGAGAGGTTCTGCCAGCTACAGGCGTCCTGCCGCACCGAACCGGGCCATCGGCCGGGCTGCGGCGGGAAGCGCTCCAGCCCACCCGCGAGAGAAGCTCATCCGGAGGCGCAAACCCCGTGCCTTACCCAGGGAGATCAGCATCTCGTAGTTCCCCCTCATCACAGCCCTGTACAGATCCTTCTGCCAGCGGTCCAGCCTCTCCCACTCCTGCTCGTTGAAGTACACGGAAATGTCATCGAACGTGACCGGTACCTGGAATCACAAGCATTACGCCCTCGGTGACTTCTGGCACGGTTAGCTACCTGGAAACCACGCGCGTGCAAGCGAGTGCTTGGCTTCGGTTGCCGGAGCTCAGGGCAGGACTCGCAGGCGCTCAGCCACCCAAGCGCACTCCTAAAATCGCTCTGGCGTTTCCTAAACCCCCTCCGCAGCCACGGCGGTGGCACTGGTGCTTCCAGGGGCCAGGCCGGGCGCCCTCACCTTGGGGACCTCGCCCCGGGAGCCGGGGGGCAGCCGCAGGATCCAGAAGTTCCTGTTCTTCAGCAGGTTCTCCACGTTGTCCAGCCGCTGCTGGAGGTGCCCGTAGTCCTGCAGGAGGCTGCCCAGCGCGGCCAGGTTGCTGCCCAGCTCCCCGACCAGGTTCTCGCAGGCCAGCAGCCTCTGCTCGGCCCTCTCCGTCCGGCTCCATAGCTCCTGCAGCTGCTCGGGCCTCGCCCGCCCCCCCACCCCCGCCCCCCGGCCCATG